ATAAATTTAGTATTATAACTATGTTTCTTCTCCAATTCGTCTTTTGAAATATAAACATTTAAATGGTGGCTGTGACATGATACAGATTTCAGTAAGTTGCACTGTATCTTTCAACATACCTTCTGATGTTCATTCATGTTTGTTTCGTGCTGTAACTAGTAGTACAGCTGAAGAGATGATCAGTTCATGTGCGCTGCCGCTTCGCTTGAACAGAGGCGCTACAGCATGACGCCACATTAAAGAGCGCCAAAACGGTATTTATTGTTTGAATTTCATAATAAAAAATGGTCCAAATGTGAAATCTGAGACTGTTTCATATCAAAAGTAGCAGCATTGCGATTTATTGGATGGGAGACATGCTACAATGTTTTGTTCATTCATCAACTGAAAACAGCATAGACTAAAAGATATACGATATCAATTCATTAAAATGAGAATCGATGAAAAGCAACGAAATTAAAATGTCATCCCTTTTTTTTTTTTTTTTTTTACCCAGCCCTAGTGTTGACTATTTATTCATGTTTTTCTAGCACATCTTTATTTGTAAAAGAAAAAAAAAGTTTAATATGATTAAAGAATCAAGAAGTTGCTATCTTAAGTATATATATTTATTTTACAGATTTTCAAATGATTTATTTGTAATGTTTTTTTTACTTTCAGAAATTACTACCATCTTTAAAAGAAATGATGACACATAATAAAGAACCAATATAAAGCTGATATAGACCTATAAGATATTGGAATTGGGCAAAAATTCATATTAAACAAATGACCACTAACCAACAATCACATCCAAAAAGAACTGCACAAGCATTTCCTGTCCTACTTCCTCCAGCTGGTTTATTCTAAACCATTTCCTTTAATTACCAAAGGCGTTTACTTGCGTTATGATTCTCGTGCTGTTCATAAAAAGATCGACCTACTTACTTAATGTTTACGATTGTCTTTTTTTCCAGGACTTCCTCCTAGTGGCAGCTGGCAGGACCTTAAGGATCACATGCGTGAAGCAGGTGATGTATGTTATGCTGACGTTTTCCGAGATGGCACCGGCGTTGTGGAGTTTGTTCGCAAAGAAGACATGACCTACGCCGTTCGAAAGCTGGATAACACTAAGTTCCGGTCACATGAGGTAGGTGTGAGTTTGTAAACACAGACCGCCATTGGACAGGACAGGACAGGACAGGGCATAGCTTAAGGATTTGGGAACATCAAGGTAAGCTTGATGTCAGAGACCCATGATGGAGCCACATGGACTAGGAGGATCCATGGAATGGATCTTTTGAATGTAAGTGATTTTGTCAGTGGCCATATATAGAAGGAACTGTAATTTGATGTTGCGCTAAATCTGAAAAAAAAAAACACCTACTTTATCTATTAAATCTATTTTAGATTGAGCCATGAATTAGGAGTAACCGAACATCTGGTAGTTCGTCTTTAGAAAGTGTTGCGTTATGTGTTTCTCAGGGGGAGACGGCTTACATCCGCGTAAAGGTGGATGGCCCGCGCAGTCCCAGTTATGGGCGCTCGCGCTCACGCAGCCGCAGCAGGAGTCGCAGCAGGAGCAACAGCCGCAGTCGCAGCTACTCTCCACGCCGCAGCCGGGGATCACCGCGTTACTCGCCCCGCCACAGCCGCTCCCGTTCCCGCACCTAAACATCCACATTCCAGCTAGTTGGCTGGCCACAATCATATACACCCTGTGTCGCCCTCTATTGGACCCACTGTTGTACTTCATTGCTCTCTTGACATGTTTCGTCTCTCCATTTCCCCCAGTTTGCTATTTCTCATCTTTGGTTTGTTAGCTCTTTGTTTGTTTGTTTATTACTTGACTGTCATTTTGCTAATGACATCTACATGTAGCTAAGTGGATGTTCCCCTTTCTCCTCTTCCCCCTCCCCACCATCAATCTTTTTTGTTCTTGTCGTCTCCTATCCCATGACCCCGTCGTGTGTTTGTCTTGCATTCCCATTTTAACTGGATCTTCATACTCGTCCCTTGTAGACAAGGGAAATGTTGAAATGCTTTAAATAGTTGTCTGTGGGATGGATTAATTGCTACTGTTTTATTTTGTTAACAATGCTTCATTATTGGCTTTTTCTGGGGTGGGAGTATTTTGTTGGAAAACTGTTCTACTTTTACCTTTTCATGTCTTTCTATAGACAACAGAAGAGCAGGATTTAAAGAAAGCTTTGGAATAAAGGATTTTGAAGCACAGTTCATTCATATTAGGATATTTGGAGGAGGAGCAGGCATTTCATTTAAGGAGGCAATGGTATGACGGCAAGCGGCTTTAGTCACCTTCAAAAAGGCAGTTGTTGTTTTTTTTTTTTTTTTTCCCAACAGACTTCCAGTAACCTGGATTGTCTTCGCTCTGTAACACATTGGTTTTGCTTTGCCATTTTTCCTCTCTTCACGGCACTCCCCTTCCCCATTTAATTTACCTTTTCTTACTGGTCATTGCTGCTAAGCATGCATGTGTACTGTCTGGATGTTGCAATGCTTGTGCGTACATTAAGACAGCATTGTTTTTTTTTTTTTGGGGGGGGGGGGGGTTCGTTTTTAAATTAAAAACAAAAAAATGTTTTGCCTGTTGTCCAAAATGTACTGGGATTTGGCCACTATTGATCTCCTATGTAGAATTATCACTAGGCAGTTCTTATGTAAATTGTGTATTTGTCAAGAGAAAGTGTCTGTTTTTCTCTAGGTTAGTTATGCTCGGTTTTTTTGTTTTGTTTTTTCAATGAAATAAGCACAATTTAATGTGTTTAGGAGGTGCTTTAAATTTCTTCCGGAGCATATCATAGTCTGGTATCTTCTTTTTTTTGTCATTTACACACAGAAAAAATAAATTAATACCGCTCCTATGATCAATTTCTAGAAGCTTTAAATGATAAAAGCTCTTTATTTAGCTGTGATTCTAACTTGTTACCTCCCTCTTTTTGATTTTGCTGGTATTTAAAGGTTTGGAGGAGGGGCTCACTGGGTCCCGATCCTTGGAGCCGGATCATTGGATCAGTTCAGGATCAGGAGCAGGATTAGGCTTAGGATAAGGATGGATACATACATGGAGCGGGATCAATTTACCGGGAGCGGGAACCATAGGAGAGGATCCCAACCCCAGCCCCGCATTCCCCCCACCAAACCACAGTTAAAGGATACTTGACGTCGTAATTGGCTTCTCTAGAACCAAATTCTTTTCTTTTTTTTTTTTCCTTTTTCCGTGGAGCCCAAATGATGCGCGCGCAGAAGGGATCCAGGTGCCTCTTTTGTTTTTGTGAGATGAGTTTTTCAGTATAAACAGGAGCAGAGCAAGGAACCAGAAGGCTGGATCAGTTTGGATGGAATCGGCATGAGGAGCGTGGTAAATAGAGGGGAATTAGTGGGAGGGAGGGATAATAGGCACCTTTTGAGGGGATGCAGTAGTTTATTTAGGGAATTATATTTCAAATAACATTTGTTGGCATTTGCTGTGTTGGCAGTGGTGTTTCTTTGCCCCCATAATTGACTACTTTATATTTCTAAATTGTGTTTTTTTTCTCTCTTTCTCTTTAACCCTTCTTTAAATAAAGACTGAATGTTCAATTAAAGTGTTGTTCTCTGCTTTATTTTTTTCTAGAAATCATAATCTTAGTGGAATCTGTAACAGTAACTAGGCAAGGCAAGTTTATTTATATAGCACATTTCATACACAGTGGCAATTCAAAGTGCTTTACATGGGAGAAATTAAAATAATCAAAAGAAATCAGAATAATTAAAACAGTTTAGGATAAAAAAAATCATAACAATAAAAATAAAATACAGTAAATAATTAAAACAATTTAGAATAAAAATAAACTAATACAATAAAAGTACAAATGTAGTGTTTATGAAATGTTTGACACACTAGAGTAGATTGAGGTAATTTATACAATGTAAAGTTCCTATTTGGTTAATAAATTAGAGAAATCAAATTGTATTAATATGTGTAGTGGAGCAATAAGGTTTTTCCAATGGTAGTACTAAGCCAAAGAGCAACATGACAGTCGATATATATCGGGGAAAACGATACATTTTTCTTCCCATGTAGCTGTAGAATATGTGAACTCCTAGATGAAATTGACTGTTCACTTTTGGAATTAAAGGAGTAGTTCACTTTTAAAAAAAGTGTCTTTCTTTCTTAAGTTGAAAAGAAATTAAGGTTTTCGATGAAAACATTACAGGATTTTCTCCATTTAATGGACTTCAATGGGAACCAAACGGTCCAAATGAGAGTTTCGGTGCAGCAAGGAGCTTTAGACGATGAATAAGGGTCTTATCAAGCGAAATGATCGGTCATTTAAAAAATAATTTAAAAGTTTAAGTTTTATTAGCACAAAATGCGCGCCTTGCTCTGTTCTGTGATGAGCGTTCTGTTCAAACTCATTCATCAAAATGAATCTTTTTTCGAGTCATGACACAAAGGGTCCTAGATAAGACCCTTATTCATCGCCTGGTGTTGTTTAAAGCCCTTTGAAGCTGCACTGAAACTCTCATTTGGACCTTGAACCGTTTGGTTCCCATTGAAGTCCATTATATGGAGAAAATCCTGGAATGTTTTAATCAAAAACCTTAATTTCTTTTCGACTGAAGAAAGAAAGACGTGGACATCTTGGATGACATGGGGGTGAGTAAATTATCAGCAAAAGTTTTTTTTTGTTTTTTTTAAGTGAACTACTGCTTTAATTCCAAAAGTGAAAAGTCTATACACTATTTAGGGTAGGGAATGTTACTTCAGGAAGTTACATACAAACTTGAACACATTTAGTGTGGTAAGTAAATCCAGTAATAGGTAATACCTCACAGGAATCAATACCTTTGGCCCGAGGATGTGGACCCATCTGAGTCCAGATGGGTCCCGGTGCATTGTGGGATGAAATAAAATGCGGGCAATGAGAAGCTACTGGAAAACGCTCGTAACACGCGGGGAGAGGCCCTACGTGCGCCAATCAGAGAGCCGGTGCAGTGCGGTGGGCGGGGTCACTCGGGTTTCGTGACGCTAAGTTGGATGTGAGTTACGAGCACAGCCGCATGGGTAGAGTTACTTACGACTGACATAGTGGTTAGTGAAGTCAAGCGTGAACGCAGCGGCTCAAAAAAAAGCCTGAGCTAAACAGTATTCCAGTGTAAAAGCATCAAAAGAGGGTGAGCAGTGTGGATTTATTTACTATGCATGCATCCGACGTGTTGACCATTTAGCTTGTGTGATAAATAATGTATTTAAACATTTAGAATAATGCGAGGAAGTTTAGTAATTAGTGCTGTATTCAGATGAAGCATCATGGACGCAGCACGAGCCGCTACCTGTACTTAGCAATTTGAAATCATTATTATTATAATTATTGGATGCGGAGTTCATAGACGGTTTTGAGGGGAAATATTCTACGCAGATTGTTTTTATCGAGAATAATTAGGGCGGTGGCGTGAAATGAAAGTTACAAGTGCTCGGCGTCTGGAGAAAAATGTTACGTAATTCTGCCAATCATTCGAGAGCATTGAGAGCAGATGCTGGAGACATCACCACCGTATGGCTTTAATGGACTCATCTGTGAACACCAGAGTCCAGCCAAAGCCTGTTTTATGGCAGCACTTAAGTGAAAGTTACTCCAATTTGACTAGAAAAAAATAGCTGCAGCTTGCAACAAATATAACCAAACATCAGCCTTCTTTGATTCCCTCTACATGACCTTATCAATGGCAGACACCTGTGCGGTGTGAATTATTAATTGTGCTTTGCAGCATAATTTACTCCCACTTTCATTCTGCCCAATGAAATTTAATTCTTAACTCATGTGGCTTGTTACTTATGCAACTGCTTGGGGCATTCAGCCTTAGTACATATTGTATTAATCGCCCGATAATCGGTTTGGTCGATATTTTTACAGATAATTCACACTATTCTACTTTGGTTATCAAATCTGCCAAAAAGTAGCAAGATCTCATTACAAGTGAGAATATATATATATATATAGTTGAACAGAAATAAAAATAATTATAAAATAATGTATAAAATTATACATATATCAGCATTACTTGCGACTCCAGATTTTATTTTAAACATGCCTCCCATGTGCCATTGGCCAGTCAAACAAATAGTCCTTACCCAAAGGCCCACACTTATGTGATTGGGGGGTCACTTTTGATAGTAACACATTGTTAAGGGAAATTAAACTACAAATAGATTTGAGCGTCTGTTTACATTGCAACGATTTACTAAAAACGAAAAAGTTTTTCCTTCACTTTTTTCTTTCTTTCCGTGTACAGGCGACAATGTTGCCGAAACTATCCCCGTTCACACGGATCTGCGAAAACGATTAAAAACACTGTATGTTTCTGCCTGGCCAGTAGTTGGCAATGTCACTTTGTAAAGAAACAATACGTTCCTATATAGACTGAACATATAATGTGCGCGCGCTTGACGTCGTTTTCACAGATTCGTGTTTTTCGTTTTTTTCGTGGGAACAATATCTGTTGTTTTCATAAACTTGCACTTTGAAACAAGTTTTTATGCCCCTAGAACGCTGCTGTTGTGTAAATGAAAACGCATAAATTTTTTAGTTGAAAAGTGGTGTCTTGTAAATGGCTCTTAAGTTTTATCTGAATATTATACAGAGACGATTAAATTACGCACTTCAACTATGATTATTATTATTATACAAATACTAATGTAAAAATTGGCTTTTTTTTAGTTATTGTCTAAAAAGCAGAAATAAATTCTACTTCTAGGACTAGGCTACTGGCCACTTTTTTAAAACACGCCCCCATATGCCATTGGCCAGTTAAACAAATAGTCCCACCCCGAACTTGTGTGATTGGTTGAGCCAGGTTTGTTTGGACTTTTTGGTATGAGAAAGTTAGATTGCATGCTTTAGCTTCATGAGTCAAAAACAATATCAGTAAATCTCTAATTTTAAATGGTCATTTACTGAATGCATATTATTTGTAATGTCTCTGATGTAACCGACCTCTGTTGCATATGCATTAGGGCTTGGTTCAGTTTAATTTCAGTAAATCGAGCTGCATAAAGATCTGTGCTTTCTCATACGTCCTTCTCACTGAATCTGAATGGATTTCATCAACCTCCTCGCTCTCCTGGGCCCAACACTGAGTGCCTGAGAGGCTTTTGTAGGGAGCGCTGATTGAGGTGGCCTCCTTTTTGTCAAATCATGACTGCACGATTTCATTTTTAGTAGATGTACTAGTTTCTTTATGAGCTGATTGGAAAGATGGATGACTCCGTAAACTTAGACAGGTCCCAGTGGTAGACCATTTGCATCTGTATTTGCATTTAAAAGAACTAGAAAGCAATTATAGTGATTCAGGCCCATTTTCCTTTATTTGTAAGAGAAGGCCTTGTGCAAAGTATTTAAAGGGATAGTTCACTTTGTTTTAGCTTACCTCAAGGGCATCCAATATTCAGGCGTCTTTGTTGCCACAGTAGTTTCAATTTTGATATTTTTAGGTCAAACCGTTGTTGTCTGTCAGTCATATAATGGAGGTCTATGGTCACCACCTCAAAGAGCATGCACAGAGAAGTCCAAATTAAATATGATTTAATGACTCATAAATGTAAGTACACATTGATGGTCCAAGACACGAAACGAGCGGTTTGTGTGAGAAAACCAACAGTATTTTTATAGTTTTTATATTGTATTCTAGAACGCTATGAGCTTTAAAAAAATAAATATAGATATATATATATATATATATATATATATCCCGTTTTTTCAGTTAGTCTATGCAGGTAATCAAGTTTGTCCTTGTCAACATAAAAAAAGTAATTTTCTGATATTAAAATACTTTCAAATCACAACTTAATAGCCTTAATTTTCCTCCTTATATTGTATTTTATCCTTATTTAATCATGAGCACAAGTTGTAAGTGTGGTTGTGTGTCTGATTGACTGAATGCATGATGTTAATTAAGAACAAAACGTGTATTATTGCTGTATATTACTGCCATATGAACATTTATTATACACTCATCTCTGGTTGATAACAGAATACTTCCTAATTGTAACATTAAATGAGCATATGCTGCTTTGAAACTATATATATTAATAAACTAAACTATAAGTAAGCCTTTGGTAGGTTAAAGGGATAGTTCACCCAAAAATGAAAATTGCCATTACTTACTCTCTCTAATGTTGTTCCAATCCTGAGTTTCTTTCTTCTGTTGAACACAAAAGAAGATATTTTGAAGAATGTTGGTAATCAAACAGTCTCATTGTAGGAAAATGAGCGTAAATGAAGACTTTTTTTGGTGAACTATCCCTTTAAGATTTGTTGACATCCTGAAGTAGCAGCATTGGCTAAACCAGTTGAGGGGCGGGACTATCTGTTTGTCAGACACATGGCAGATCGGGGGAGTTCGCCTGTTTGATGATGGTAATGGCACTGTTAATCGAGAAAGCTTTTGATTTTAAAAAGCTAATTCAGCTTGATGCTCCAGGTTCTTCCTTGTTCTTCTGACTTAACAAGAGATGGTCAGTGAATCTCCTTTGCGTTTTCTCTTTCTTCATATTCACAGCCATCATGACTGACAGGAAGGCAGTAATAAAGAACGCTGATATGTCTGAGGACATGCAGCAGGATGCAGTGGATTGTGCCACACAGGCCATGGAGAAGTACAATATTGAGAAAGACATTGCTGCATATATCAAAAAGGTCATCCACAGAACGTTTATGATTGACACCACAGACTGCATCAACATTATCTTATCTATAAGATTTGATTTCCTATTCTGTCAGTAAAACAGGGTTCAGTTATTGTTTGGTCTCAAAGCTAATGTTCAGATAAATGTTTAAATGCCCCTCAAATTAAAATGTATTGTCAAATTAAATTAAAGTGTTTGTACATTATTAATGATTATTTAGAATACAAGTACCATAAAGTATGCAAAAGCATTTATATGGTACTATACAGTGTAAAAAAATAATATTTTCAAGATTTATCATCACAACATTTTTCCTTTGTCAAGCCAACTTAATTTATTTAGTTCAGATAACTTATTATTTTGAGTTTTTGATGATTAAATCAATCTCCTTCATTGTATTAACTCACTTTTTCCAGTTCAATCAACTTAAAAACTTTAAGGCAACCAGGTTGCTTAATTTAAGTTAAATGAACAGTATTTTTTTTTTTTTACAGTGTACATGTTATAGGTCTGAGCAAGTTTGAAAACGATCCTTCTAGGGATCAGTGGATCTCAACAATTTTTTTTACTTGAAGGTCACAACAATATTTGAAGGGGTATAATAGAAAGATGTATATTTGTTAAAAAAAACTAATAACCACATAATAAGAAATACCTTGATTTTTAGTTGTTTTAGCCTATTTCCATGCTTGTTTTGTCTATCATTTTAAGTAATTTTGGGGCCTGTGATTGGGAACTGTTCCAGAATATTGAATTGAGTTCTTGGTCTTACTAAAGTATACATGACTGTTCTTGCTTTTCAACAGGAGTTTGATAAGAAGTATAATCCAACATGGCATTGTATTGTGGGACGGAACTTTGGCAGTTACGTGACGCATGAAACCAAGCATTTCATCTACTTTTACTTGGGTCAAGTAGCCATTCTACTCTTCAAATCGGGCTGAGAGGAAAACTGTTGTTTGTGAAGTTGGACATCAACTCCAAACCTGGACTGTGACGCTCTGATGGCTTGAGCCACACTCGGATTACATGCACACAGACACACACACACACACACACGTGCGCTTTCATACTCTTTCGCATACACACTCAAGAATTTAGCTATAGAGGCTATGCATAAATGCATGGACCGTGTATATTTAATTTGTATATGTTGCAATACAGTAACCTTTTTTGCTTTCTGTAGTTGCACGAGATGACGCAACAAGATGATTTTTGTTTGTTTTTTCCAAGTCCAAATTTGTTTTGCACTGAAGTTGTACAAAATGCTTTGACCGCTGCCTTTAAAGTATATTAAAAATTGATATGTCATACATATTTTGGGTAAGAAGTGTTTTTTGTAGATCCAAGCATGGGATTGTCTGCATTTGGTTTCAAGTAAATAACCCCTCAGTAATAAGATGTAAAATTTACCCAACAGCCTATTTTTCTTTTTTTGCATCACCATGTAACATGATCAATTGTCTTTATTTGTCTCCTATGAAGTGCAGCTGAAGAATTGAACAAATCTCACTTTCTCAGAAGACAAGGGCACTCAGTGCATGCGTTTTTGCTGAGGTCGGGAGTATTCAGGTTGTTCGGTTACTAATGAGCAGACCTGTCTGGAAACAAGGGGCCATTAATGGGATACAGCACCTCTCGAATTTCAAGGACATGCATTTACTAAAGGCTTTGCTGCTTTTATGCCCCTCTTATGAAAGTATACATTTAAAAATGTCAATGATCGCCCTCGCAATCTCTTTGTCATGACACAAAAGCTCTCCTAGGAGTGGCAATCCAGCCCTAAATATTTTATACAGTGATGAGTGAAGTCTTCTGTAGCTTTGCCTATTCATGGCCAGACTCCTACCACCTTGTTTGTCATTTCAAATGGAGCTAATCAGAGGATAGACATGAAGCGTAAATGTCACACCGTCACACTCATAAATTGAACACTGCCGTTCAACAAACCCACTGACAATTCCTGAGGGAACCCGTCTTGGCAGTACCATATATATATATTACTATTAACCCAGACAGCAACATAGTGTCAGCCCAGATATGGCCCATATTTTGGTACTAAAGGATTCTACATGGCCCGGATCTGGGCTGACACTATGTTGCTGTGTGGGAATAACCCATGTAATCTTACTGCTTGTCAGTACATATCAAAGTCTTTTAAGTAGCTTTTTCCAACAAAGATGTTTTTAAAAAGTTTACGTTTTGGAGTTAAAAGCCATGAACCGAATAAATCAGCTATGAAGTCAATTACATTACATACTTTGATTCTGAAGTAGCATTTATTTGAAAATCTGACAAGACAAAGGGACATGACTGCATACTTCACAGCTTTATGAGGGAAAGAACTACAATCCCATGCCATGAAGCATTTTGACAATAAATATTTTTTTGTCAAGGCGCCAAAGATGCCTTGATTGGTGGAGAGTTCTCTGTAGAATCATGGGTGGTGATGTAGTTTTCCACGAGGAATTCCATTTCAATTACACAATTGAAATAATAATGACTGATTTTGCCCCAAAACTATATTATTACTAGGAAATTATAACACCTGCCAATTGCGTGAAAATGTGGATTTAGCAGTGTAACCGTCTGGTATTCTAGAAACTATAGTTTCATTGTCAATTAGTTGAATATGTGCACTGTGGCACCTGACTTTACAGAATGGGTGTCTGACTTTACAGTAGTGGAAAAGCGTTTATAAAAATATAGAGAGCAAACTGCCTTGAGAAAGTGCACTACCCAATCCCAGTTGTCTTGAACTTCAAAGAGGCTTATTTGGTTGAATTTAATTTGGTGGTGCGCATCAGATACAGACAGTGCTTGTGCTATTACATGAGTGCAATACTATAATTTATGCATTTCCGTGCATTAAAATAAATGAAAACATTCAATTTTTAAATAATTTAACCTATGAACAGTAACAGTCTTAATAAAGAGTCACTTACATTTACAGGGGAGAGGGGTGTGCAGAAACGTTTATAGGCCTATACTATAATTTTTGCCACACAATGTAGAGCAAAAAATAAATGTAGTATGACTGACTGATAAATTACCTAGTAATAATATTAATTAGGTAGCTAGCTAACCAGCATAGATGGTATAGACCATTTTACAAGATGTAAACAACACTGGTCCAGAAACACATTTCCTGTTTCAGTTTGTAACTGTTTTCTTTATTTCACATGTAAAGAAAACATCTTAAAGATATTTGTTTAACTTTTTGATTCAGTTTTATATGTTCTGTTGGTTGTATTTTATCCCAGCTTTTATGTAGTGTTAAAAAACTGAAACAGGAAGTGCTTCTGGACCAGTGTTGTTTAATGAAAAGACTTTTCATTTAAAAACGATGATTTCCGATTGACCGCGGAAGTGGTTAACGGTTGCCATAGTAAAGCCGCTATTTTGACCCCGTAAAGATGGCCGGTAAGGTAACGTTTTTTGATACGAATGTAAGTTTTCCTTCTAATCTCAACAATCTGGGATTTCAGTCCGCCTCGCCCAATACTTCAAGGTTTGTCCCTCAGTCAAAGTCCCAGCATGAGCAGGACGGTTCCGCGCAGGCGCAGGATCAGATCAGTCGCTGCCATGAGAAACTCCGATCTCTGAGACCGACTGACAGCGCGACTCTGAAAACCGAGCTCAATTTACTGTTCGACCAGCTCATCTCAGAAAACTACAGCAGCAGCAACCATGACAACATTCATCCAGAGGTAGGATCAGACTTGTGCTGTTTTACTGAGCTGTCAAGCTCCCAAAACATTGTAAGTCCCCTATAGACTACATGTCTGGGCATCACTTGGATGTTCGCCTGAGTCTAATGGCCTAGGATGCTCAGACATGCTGCCTATGTAGACAGGTTTTGAGCCAAATTATTCTACCAAAATGTATCATTATACAACAGACGACGAAAAACAAGTTATAAACGTGCGCAGTCGAAGAAATGAGCTGAACTTGTTTATCAACATTTAAATATGTCGATACAAAATTCATGTATATATATATACTGTTAAAATGTAATTTATTCCTGTGATGCAAAGCTGAATTTTCAGCATCATAACTCCAGTCTTCAGTGTCACACGATCAGGATTTAATAGGAGGCTACTAAATGTTTTCCAAGATATATATTTTTTCAGGATTTGAACAGCATTAATTTGATCTAGAACACTTATGTAACATTATACATGTATTTACTGCCACTTTAGATCAACTTAATGCATCCTTGTTGAATAAAATCTTGTGTGTGTGTGTGTGTGTATATGAAGAGTTCAGATGCAAAAGCCTCTAAGTGCCATTGGAAATTTTCTTCTAAAATGATAATTTTTATCAAGCTTGTATATTCAAATTCAGTAATTTCACTTAAATGACAATTAATAGGTAATCTTCATTGCCATTTAAGTGAAATTACTGAACTTAAATATACAAGCTTGATAAAAATTATAATTCTAGAAGAAAATTTAAAATGGCACTTAGAGGCTTTTGCATCTGAACTCTTCATATATATATATATATATATATATATATATATATAACATTGATAATAATAAATATTTCTTGAGCATCAAATCATATCAGAATGAAGACTGAAGGGTTATATGAAACTGAAGACTGGAGTAATGATGCTGAAAATTTAGCTTTGCAATCACATGGATAAATGGCACTTTAGTATATCTTATTTAAATTCTAATACTATTTTACAACATTACTGTTTGTTCTTCTTTTCTTTAAAATAAAAAATAAATGCAGTCTTGGTGAGCATAAGAGACTTCTTTCAAAGACATTAGAAACCATTTCAGACTTGGTACATGTATATTTGAACATGTATATGCATATTTCCATCCATCAAATAATTAAACATTTAATATAATAATACATATAAAAATAATAAACAAACAATGTTTTTTTTTTTTTTTTTTTTACAGTTTCCAAAAATCTCACTGAGTCATAGGTCGTGTTTGTCCAATATGTCTTTTTTAAATGACCCCCTGTCCTCTTTCACAGGTTGTTTGTGAGATGCTTATACAAGCAAGCCGTCTGGTTCCTCTCAGCCAAGAGCATCTCTTCATCAAATTGTGCCAGTTGATTCATCAACTTCTGAACCAGCTCCAGGTACTTCCACTATGGCCATATATGGCTTCTTATCAAGAGGCACAATCTTCTGATAAATATCCTTTTGTACTTCCAGGTAATAGTGGACGAGCATACACTTGATGTTTTGGTGTCGTACTGCTCGCGGGCTCTGCGCACATGCAGCTCGTGGACTCACCCGGATGTGTTGCTTGCCCTCTCGTCACTGGTCTACGGCAACGGATCCAAATGTCAACGGGTAGGAGCGACAAACCCGCGCTTGTTTTTTGTTTATGATGTTTATAATCTATTCATCTTCATTTTGCAATCCTCTCCAGCATCTTCCGGATCTCCTTGGATTGAGTGGTTTTCTGGTGAGCTACGGTGACCCCGTTCAGCCCGACGTAGAGCTGCGCCGCGCTGCTGTGCATTGCATAGCTAATCTGTGTCTCAGGTGAGGCATGTCACGTGTGTTATCCACAAGTGTTTTAAAGGACCACAATGGAAACAAGCCTTTGTGTTTTTATCCTTTTGAACACTTCATGTCGATTGTTGTTCAATCAATCAATCAAACCATTTTTTTTTTCATACTATGGAAGTCAATGGCTACCGTCAACTGTGGAGTTATGATAGTCATTAATGTCATCATTGTCATATGTGTGAACAGGCGTTTACAGTGAAATGTCGATTTGGTTGTGTGCTAGTGTTCCCGGTCAGCCGTTTTTAGAGGAGCCGTATAAAGGTGTATGCTATGGGATCCTCCTGCGGACACTGCAGTCTCCCAAACCAGCTGATGTGGAGGACATTGTCTTCTGTTCAGTCAGTACTGCATGTTTTCTGAAGCTGCTAGAACACAAGGTGCGGTCACATTAGCCAATAGTCTAACAATGTGTGAAGCAAAACTCACATCGGTCAATGTGGCAAATTCATGGCAACATCAATGTGTGTGAAATTCAATTCCTATTGAAATGAATGCATTTTGTCTGCAAAATTTCACAAAAAGCAACGGTAATGTGACCACACCTTCACTCAAACCACTTGGTCATCTTTTCTCATTTGTGCACTATAAAAAGTTCCCCATTTCTTCTGTTGCAGTTATTGCAGAGTGCTCTGAAGGGAATGCAGTATTTTCTCAATTGTGGAAAATGGAAAGCCATTCCGAACCAGGATCTGGGCACCTTATTGGCTGTGCTCAAAGTATGCATTGTATTCTGTTCATGTTTTAAAGGTGTTGGTTTACAGATTGGTAATAC